ATTGTTATGTTTGAAGCGAGAGTATAAATTTAGTTGTTTTTTTAAATATTCTATGTTGTATAGTTACTGTGTCAATCATCGTTTTGTACTTGCTTTGTTTAAAAAGTACACTATGCTAATGTTTGAAACAAAGATCGCAGCATCCATACATTTTTACTAGGCGCCACAAAAGAATGTCGAAAGAAGGAGGTAGAAAAAAGGTCCAGAATTTCGCCATACAATAGGCATAAAACAGAACGAAGTGTTCAACAAGACACAGCAAAGACGACAGAAGTTTACTGAGTACTAATATAAGCTATATCAATAGATTACAAGCACTGAGCAAGGAGACTTACATGTTTGCTATGTCAATACCAAAGTTATCAATAAGCAAGCACTTTATTATCATGCCGTATGATTGAATATCGGCTACGCATTGACGTTCTCCTCAAAGACAACTTTATTACCACGACACTCGTGCACCTTGTATAGATGTTTCTTCTTCTCTTAGCTACATTTTACGTGCACGCCACTTCTGGCTAACGTCCAGCCATCGCTGCTTTGCACATACTTCGCGTTTTTACCATACTTCACACGCTTCGCGATTTCGGCAGCGCATCAAGCAGAAGCACCACTGGCGGAATCTTACACAAACCATCACGCAGCACATCGATACTTGCACAGCCAACCAACGCCACGAAAATTCCCCCAAGAAATCAGCCGGTCTACTTCAGCGTCTCGCATGTTTCACATAGGGCTTCATAGCTTTACTCGGTCCATTTCTGAAGCCTTCTGTCAATATTCACTGGGTTATTGCCTCCAGTGACTACTTCACCAGGTAGAGCGGAACCCAATTTGTTGAGCAAGCAACTGCTCCTGACGCGGCTAAATATTTTATGAAGAAAATTGTTCTCAGACATATTGTGGCTTAGCTGTCGTCATCACAGAGTGTGGTACCGGGTTTACGGTATAGGTGCTCCAAGATATTCTGTGACTGAGTGGTACGACAAACCGAACACCTGAATACTACCCGTACATTAGTGGTTCAACCGAACGCCTTGAAAAGTGATTACATATATATTCTTTTGAAGTACATATACAAGTATCACAATTTGTAAGAAATGATCCCAGTTGTCTACAACACTGCTCTTCGGGATCTTCGGAACGCTACCACTTTTGGTCCTTTTAGCCTGGTGTGTAGCATTGACGTCACCATGGTGATCGACTTCACGCTGTCACCAACTCCACCCGACTCAGTTACCCCGAATACAGACGTATATGTTCCGTGCCGAAGAAGGCCAGAAGCTTCTAGCTTACGTATTTTGTCGCGTAAAAATTGCAGTGCTTGCCGGTACAGCACCACTGGCAGGGCTTTAGCCTACAAGCTGGTCATTCCAGTTTCGGTTGGTACCCATACACGCCACCGAGGGTGCTCAGAAAATTGTTGTGCCGGAATTTTGTAACCTACAGCAGTTTTCATCGGCTCAGAGAAGTGAAGTACGAACCTTTCCCAGTGGACATATCGCACCGCACCTTTATATAGACCCCGCATTTCTGGTGTTCATGGTTCTAGAAAGCCCCGCCGCTTACAAAAAACTTGCAGGCCATCTACAGAAATTTTACAGAGCATTAGTCTACCGGGATGCAGAATATATGCAAAAAAGTGACGAATTTTCTGTCACTCCTGTCACTCCCGCGTAGGCAATGGGTACTAAATGTGTTTAGAAGAAGTTTTCTCTATCATAAGACGCAACAAACCTAAGGAACGAGCGTCTGTACGGCAGGCACAATAACAAACAAAAGACAAAGTACAACATACATTACACATTTAAACAAATGTGTCCAAGTCCATAGCATGTGCATAGTTCATGGTGCTAATAACTACATACACTACATACATACACTAATCACAATATGGACAATATACATGATGATATATGTACAGAATTTACAAGACTTGGTGAAGATGTTAGAAAATATGTACAACCGGTATCAATATTCATAAGAGTTACATAACTTACAGCGTTAGAATGAAGTGCATATATAGAAGAGCTCACACCTATATGGGACATACACAAACACATAGAAATACTAAACACATACTGATTACATGCACTAATCAGACATTGACCGGTGACCTGGCTATAGGAACCAGGCCAGGTGGAAGACAAATGGAACGCGCCTGTCAACTACGGACAGAAATCGGCACGACCATTGTCGCAGAAATTCTTCCTCCCCAAGGAAGAACAATTCCTCTGACAGAAACGATAAGAGTTCAGAGTAGAGGCGTTCCAAAATCGGAAAGAGAGCACGACGACGATGACCTGCCACAACAGCTTCGTATCTATTACTAAGTAAATACTAAGTAAATACTAAACACACAGACCTCTCACACTTCACTAACACCCACCACCCAGTATATATAGACATGTCTTCTTGACCAGCCATTGAGTGCTGGTAGAAAAATTCCTATCCTTTAAAAATTTACATTTAAACGTACACAGAATACGTGCAAAATTATGGCGGCTGTGAGGAAGCCATAAATTACACACATCTCTTATTTTGCACTTGCCAAATGTGCAACGATCTTTTAACTAGAGATGTTTAAGTATCTGATAGCAGTCGCATCACGCTGCACAATAGCTTCAGCTTTTCTGCAGACATTCTCGGGACTAGGGTGACTGGTGGGTGACTGATGGGTGATTGAAAGGTGAAACCTATTTAGTTTTTGTTATAGAATATGTCATGAACGAGAATATATAAATATATACGTATATAATATATACATCCACACTCACAGCGAATCTAACCTACGACCTTCACAGGGAATCGAACCTGCGACCGTCGAATAACGAACATGTTAATCGAAGGTCATAGGTTTGATTCCTGCTCACGGTAAGTTATTTTTTCACCCACTTTTCTTTCTTCTTATTTACATTACATTGGTTCTAATAACTTCCCTTATACAATCCTTGGCATTATTGTCTGTTAGATCTCATATATATATATATATATATATATATATATATATATATATATATATATATATATATATATATATAAATATATATATATTTATATATATATATATATATATATATATATATATATATATATATTGTTTCTTTAGATAGAATCGCAGATCATTCACGAGGTGAATGATGACGAGCTGGGCGAAGCACCAACGAACGCACGCACGACACACGGACGGATGCTCAGACGGGCGGACGGACTGATGGACACTTTGCCCTACTCATCAACAATCACTCCATGGATATGTGGTGACACTGTTTTTATTGACATTTAGTGCCATTTTATGATCTTGAAAACTGGCTACTATGACGACATGGGACGACACGAAACGCACAACCCATGACGTAAGGAGCTTCCCCCCTCAAAAAAAAATGCACCAGACGCACATTGTCCCCTCTACAAGATGCGCTGTGAGGTTTCACAGCTCTTCTCTAGAAACCGTGACCAAGTTCAGTGAGGTCCTGTGGCCTTCCGTGGTAAACGAACACCTTACTTGCACAGTGAATGACCGACGGCTACTTTACGTCACTGTGTTTGTTCCTCGCACTTTTTTCTGTCGCTACTTTATTGTGAAGCACGCGGTCGCACCTCCTTGGAGCTGATCACGTCACAAAAAGGGGAAAGAGGACGGATTTTCGCCAGCAGACGAAAGTCTTGCCACGTTGAGATCAATGCTACTAGTAATGAGTCCACGTTATAATGAAGCTTGCTTGGCGGGCCCATTGGGAAGTATGGAATCCGGACTGCAGCCACGGTATCGTATTGTGCTACAGGGCTGGCTTTGTAAGCGGTATACACATGGGGAAGCAAATTTTAGACATTCTGTACTCTGAGACGTGTTCCGCGCTGAGCATTGCTGATAGTCTTGTTAAACTGAATACACCAAAAGTGAAAAAAAGAATTGAACGTCGCTGTATAGACTTGAGAGGGGAAAAAAACAAATAATTGTAAGCAGTAGAAAAATATCGGTAATGAAATTGCGAAGTTAACCTGGCTGAAAAGGGTCCGAGAGATACAATAGCACAAATAATTCGGCTGTAGTTAGTGTTCATTCGCATTTAGACTTGACAAGGCGCACACACAAAGCCGGAAACAAGAAGAGAAAGATCCTAACAGCACGGGTACCTACTCGCAACAACAGTGTGTTTGAAAGAAAAGCAAGTACATATATATCACCTCCGTTGCACTGCCTAGCTTGTTAAACAGTTAGCAATGTTTTCCTTCTTGTGTCCGTGTTTCTGTGCGCGGCTTCTTCAGTGCAAGGAGGAGAGGCACAAGTACTGAAAGAAGAGAAGTGTGTATACCTGGGCTGATACCTTTCCACTTGTGTCATTCGTCCGGCCGTCTTTCGTATTCGCGAACTCTGCTAAGGTCGCGCTGACGTGCACAGACAAAAGCAGTCGGAAGACGTTAAGGGCCACAGGCCTTCCAGATTCGTCAGCTTTTCCACTACTGTGTAGTTTCTCCAATTTGTTTCTTCAAGTCTAATGATCCTACAATATAAGGTCATTGTGAATTAACGCCTGAAGTGTTACCTGATTTGCTTATATTATTTTCCTGCTGCTCCCTATTATCTATAAACTATAATTGATAATGTATACGCAATCGATGATTTTCATAGTCAGTTGTGTTACGGAATTCTGTTTGGTTGGGAAAAAACATAGTGGTATAAAACAAAAAAAAAAGCCGACCAAGGTTAAATGCGCAAATTAGGTTTGGGGGCCACAAACGGGAGCTTTATCCATAACAAGGCTTCCGTGTAGTGCACGGAAACGTATATGTTTTTAAAATTTCTAGCAATCCACCTTGTTCTGCTTTCTTGCTTTATTCCACAATAAGTGGTCGAATGGGAACATATAGTAGCGGCTAACGTGTTTTTCGTGTAGCCAGCTTTTATTTTATTTGTGAAGCTGGCTGCTGCCATAAATTTCAGACTACCACACACTCCTTAAAAAAATATATGATTAGGAAAACAGGCTGCCACTTACTGAGACTGTCTTCGTAGACGAGCGTGAACGACTTCCAGCCCTTAGCGTCGAGGAGTCCTTTGATTGCCGATCCTAGATGGGCACGCCGAGGCGACACTCGGATCGAGATGGACGACGAGTCACCGCCGCCGTCTCCGTCAGTGTTGGCGCCGCCGTCGCTGATGCCGCTTCCAGGCGCACGAGTAACGAGGTGGGGGACACGTGATCGCTTGCACGCGGCATCCACGGCAGCGGAACCGGGGCCCGAACTCGGTCCCACGATGGCCATCACACCCATCGACAGGAGCTTGCAAGCTGCAGAGAATAAAGGCGAAAGACGTTTGCGTTACTAGGGACTTGTATGAATGCAAGCACCAGGTGGTTAAAGTTATGTTGTGCAGAAAGACAACGCATAGGTCCCACTATGCCTTGGTCCATATATCTGTCCTTTATTTCATCTATCTATCTATCTATCTATCTATCTATCTATCTATCTATCTATCTATCTATCTATCTATCTATCTATCTATCTATCTATCTATCTATCTATCTATCTATCTATCTATCTAGCAGCCTACGACTTTAACTCTCCTGGCCGTTTCGATAATGACATCAATACCCAAATTGGTATGACAAACATGAGTGAGTGAGTGAGTGAGTGAGTGAGGACAACTTTATTATGGTCTAGTGCAGACGCTGACGCCGCCACGCGTCACCCAGCTACTTACTCCCACGTGAATGTATGACGAGCAAAAGTGACAAGTCATAACATAAAATTCAAGACATATATGTCACGAATATCTTGATTTACATTTCATGGCCTTTCTTATATTGCGATGGTTTCGTTCATATGACATTTTGCAAAAGTGGCATGGTGTGACATGAATACATGGCGAACACAAGTGGTGGGCCCTAACGTGCAAATCATGACATGCTTCTCATGTAGGTCATCACTACACGCCGCACTCATGTTGCACTCGCCGTCGTTTCGCTAGCTTCACATAAACCTAATTTGGTGTTTTGTGACAATAATAGATGAAGAAGATATATAACTGGTGCAAACATGATAATCATAACTAGCGTGTCATCTAAGAACATGACAACATACCACGCTCATAATGCGCTCGCGGCTGTTTCGCTGGCTTCACATATACAAAATTAAGTATTACGTGACGTGAATGGACGACAAATGTAAATAACACGACCGAACATAATATTATTGAGATGCGTGTCATGTAAAACATGACTGCATGCTACGCTCATAGCGTGCACGTGGCCATTTTACTAGCTTCACATATACCAAACTTGGTACCACGTGATGTGAATAGACGACGAAGGTAAATGACACGTTCAATCATGACAACCGTCAGATGGAAGTCATGTACAGCACAATTTACATCCGCCTCGTAACGTTGTACTGACGTTAAAGTGACATATGAACCTTCCTCATTCGTGCTTCGCGTATCATTGATTCCCACTGCACGTCGGATGTGCGATTTTTTTTAGCAAAGCAAGAGTCACGTCCGTTACGTGGTAGCTAGTCTAGTTTGAGCGCCATCGGCGTCCAAGGCTCATCGGTCCGTTCTTTGCCGTGAGACATCGACAGTATTTTGACGTGTTCAGTGAGCTCCAGGGCTACGCCTCAAGTGCTAAATGGCGATGAGTGAGCAGCGATGACGTCGACAGGTTTAGTGTTGTCATCGCGGTGTCTATAGATGTGGTGCCGTATGGCGACGACGCCTGGCTGTCTAGCAACGGTTGCACTTGCTTTGTTTTGCTTGGTTTGTGCAGCGCGATTGTGTGAATCCTGGATTTTCGTTTGCCGCTTCACGGGATAACTAATGGAGTCTTGAGCACCACTGTAAATATTTGAAGCTACTGTCATCGCGAACGAGCATCACGCAGGCAGCGTTCATATGTCTCACCAGCCAGTGTTGCCAAAGCGTGCGCCTTCATCTGCTTCGTCGTCGCTCTGTCCGGTGTTGACTTGAGTTTATTTACCACGTACAGTTGTACAGTAAGTGGATGGGACAGGCACAAAAGACCTGTATAAGAACAACTTGATGACAAAGCCCAATATTTCCATGATCACTGGGGCAACAAAACGGCAAAAGCGAAGTAAAACACAAGGCAGTTTAAGCCAGCAATAAACACGCTTTGCATCGGAACAAAAAGATATACAAGCTTGTACAAACCAGAAACACACATTCTATACAATGGAAGAAATAAGTATGCAAACATAAACTAATACTACACATATAAAATAATAAAACAAATTTAAAAAATAAGTATTAGAGAGCGTGCGAACATCTTCTCATGTAATTCCTAATTTATTTAGTGTATTCGGCGAGCAATAACGCAAAGTCTCAAAACCATAATTTGTGCGCGGTCTTGGCATATGCTAATCTTCAGAGTGCTGATTTAGGCGGGTCGAAAGATTTGATTGTAGATTAGCTGAACAACGTATATAGCCGCGACCTCTTATGGTAATATATCTAAAAGAGATTACTAAAAACATCGTAGAGCACGGTTAATTTGGTTTAGGTGGATAGTAATATTACTGCTAAAGAGACGATCGAACAGAAAATGATCAGAAATGTTAGATCTGAAAATCGCCGAAATTCCTTATTCCTCAGTATTTGCATCGTTTGTGCACGCAGGTGACGTCGGCGACGACAAAGGGAAAGTGGGAGTCGAAGGCATGCTTATACTTGTGCACGCCGAGCAGACGAAGTGTCGACTGGAAATCGCGTTCCGATTTCGTGTGGCCACGTAATCATATAGAGCGTGACCACGGTAGGTGACCCCTTGGCAGCGCTTGAGGCGCTGAAAATTGGCGGGCTTAGCACTCGTTTTGAATCAGGTTCAGTACTAGTCAATATTAAACATAACTTATTTGTCCCCCTTTGTAATGTTATTACCAAATCGTATATGGAATCGATAATTATACGCGGTGATGCAAAAGACGTGACATGCGCCAAGTGAATGTCACTGCTTCTTTAATGAAACAACATTGCCATCTATCCCCGAATATGACCACACTGCAGTGAGAGCAGTGACTTGCGATCTACCGATAATATAATCACATTTGCCAATTGCTTTTCAATTACCCTAATGAGCTCGGCGCCACCGTTTCTACGACTTACAGATCTAAACGCCTAATTGGGCGCTAACTAGGCCTTCCAAACACCGTGAGGCAAATGCGATTTCCCTTTGAATGAATAGCGATTCGATTACCTCCGGCTACCAAAACACGTATGAAGAGTTTGAGAACCGCCACAATACAGATAAATTGCGATGGAGAGCCTGAGCCTCTCTTAATATTTTGAAACGATAGCACTACGTATTTCGATGTGCAATACAACGACTACCGTTTTTTAATGCAGACAAAAGGCAAAACAAATCAAGTATTAGAAATGTTGTTCAGTCGTGGTCACAACGCGGTGTTGTCAATTATTCATTGCTCTGTAATTATGGTGCATCCTTAGAATTAGTGAAAGAATTTTTCCAGTAAATGTAGACATAACTCGCGCCTATTGTGAGCCTAATAAAGTTGTTTCACTGGATCCAATGACTGTCCATGAATAACAGTGTTTTACACTCATTATAATAGCTTTGAGTATCGCGTTTGAAAACGAAATCGCAGCATATCCACGGAGTAAATGCCAGTGAGTGGGGGGAAGCGTCCATCCGTCTGTCTGTCTACTCTGTCTGTCTGCGACGGGCGGACGGACGCTTCGCCCCACTCATCATTCACTCCGTGGATATGCTGTGAGTTTTTATACTAAAGCCACTAACGACGTGTAATGACATTATTTACGAAGACAGATACACACAACGCCGTCTTGTGAGAAATTCCTAAAACTAATTAGAAGTAGCTGCTACTACTACGAGAGACCAACAACATAAGAAGCTTCGCCCCTAAAATACGTAGGCGGACTGAGAAAATACACAAAAGGCGTCATCCTGTAAGAAAAGAGCAAGAACGACAAAATTAAGTATTTATGGGCAACGGATTGTGCAGCTTCCTAACGGCGAATTATTTATCTACATTATATAATTGGCGGTTCTCAGTGCTTAGCAACTTCAGCGCATATTGGTCATCTGTAGTGAAAGGTTGCATAATTCACGCTTTGGCGCGCTCTAAAGATCGTCGCTTTACCTATTGTGACGCGCGCGCGCCTCCTCAGGGTGCAGTCTCGTGAGCACGCCTTTACCTGATTCTTGCGCTTTGTATGCCTTATGCTTCCACCACAAGTTTGCTTTGAAGGTACAGTGGTTAACAAGATCCTGAAGGTCACTTCGCTGGCTGCCACGACCGCGTTTACCAAAGGAGCACACTGCTGACACACGAAGTAAGAAGTCGAGCTGTGAAAGTGTTTATTCCACCATCGTCCTCTCTCTCTCTCTGTATATATATATATATATATATATATATGTTCTATGCATGCGTGCTTTGTGCTTGAGGTGCGTGCTGCGAAATTCAAGCTGCTTGCTATTCTCCTTTCATATTACAATGTGTGGCTGTGGTATTCATTTCTTCGATGTTGCTATGAAAGAACGCTCAATAAGCACTCAACTGCGTCTGTGGAGACGCGTTTTACTTTCATGTTACACCAATTTTGAATAAAAAGAGATCAGGCGTGTTTTTTTTTTTTATGTAGGACCACTTTTTTATAGATGTCATGCAAGGAGACGTTGACGCATCGACCGAGTGCCGACCACTATTTTTTTCCTTCTTTCTGCTGACCCGCAGGTCGCGGGACCAAAGCTCGGCTGCGGCGGCTGCATTTTCGATGGAGGCGAAAGTGCTGTAGGCCCGTGTGCTCAGATTTGGGTGCACGTAAAGAACACAAGGTGGTCGAACTTTCCGGAGCCTTCTACTACGGCGTCTCTCATAATCGCATGGTGGTATTAGGATGTTAGACCCCACATATATAATCAAATAATTTTTTACTTCCACTGCATAGCCTATTGAAACAGAGTATTTGTGGTATAATCAGCCTCATCTCTGTAAAATTCAGTTAAAACAAAATGAAACCTTAAACTAACACAATAGTAGTTTGCACTGACAAACTTAACATGCTCCAATAAGCTGCTATACTATATATCTCCATGACCATGAGGTATAACCCTAAACATAAGCAGTGAACTAAAACACACACACGACACCCACACCCAAACACAAAGACTGTACATTAGATATCTCTTGCGTACCTAAAGAAACGGCCTATATACAAACACCCTATATACAACGCACTTTAGGTGCTTTATAGTAATATAGCTACGTAAACAGAACCGGTCGACTCCTTGTC